CGTGATGGAAGTGTTCTGTGTTTTAACTGTGGCATGACTGTGTACATGTGTCACAATACATTAAACAGTAACACAATGGGTGCTTTTTATTGTATGTAAATTATATCTTAAAGTTGATTTAAAACTGTGTGTTAAGAAGTCAGATTCTGGTCGAAGATACTTAGAAAGTATTGGTACAGACACTGCGTGGGTGTGACGAAGTCCTCAAGTTGACCATCTCATGGTAAAGGTTAGAGTCAGTAAATAAATGAATAGATAGGAGACTGAATGAATGAATGAGCAACAGAATGAATATCTAGCCTGTCTATGGTAGGAATCCATTTTACACAGCGCCAGCATTTGGGAAGTCCTGACCAGAGGCTGTTCTATCTCAGTCTGCCTAGCTCCTAGGACAGGGGTCTCGTTACTTTGTGACACAGCCCTTTCCATGTCTAAACACTAGGTGTGCATGAAAGACCTTCATTATATTAAGTTGATCTTTCTGGAGACCCCCTGCCCTCTGGGGCCCACAGACACATCTACTCTCCCTGAGGGCGGCCCAAGTGCCCACCCAGCACAGCCTGCTCTTCTTGGGACCCTTCACCCCAGATGCTTAGCTGTCCTGCCCACCAGGTCCAGCTTGCAGAGAGTGTACATGCTGGTGGGGTGCAGGACCGAGTACAAGTTCAGACAAACAAAATGATCTCACACTAATTCGAAGGGGAACAAAGCAGGTGAGATGATTGAGGTGGCCACTGGAAATGTGGAAAGGCAAGGCAAAGCCTCTCAAGGGAAGTGATAATTGAACAGATACTGGAAGGATGCTAAAGAGCCCGAAGAAGTAGAGGAGGGGCATCTGAGCAGAGCAAGAGCACATGTAAAGGCCCCCAGGTCAGAAAGCAAATGGGACTTATGCAGCAGCCAAACTGGCTAGGGTGGAATGACCTGGGAAAGCATAGTCATTTAGGGTATCAATGGCAAGGAGCCTGGAATTATTTTCTAAATTTGATTCTCAAACAGCTTCAAGCAAGAGGAGATAGGATATGATGTAAATTTTAGTTGCTACTCAATACATATTTACTGAATTAAAGCAGAAGGCCCTTCTAGCTCCATTGGTTAGGGTTACATTCGAAAGACAGAATTAAGTGCAGTCACCTGAGCAGACTCCATAGAGGGCCTGCCTGGGTTGACTCCTGGCTCTGCCCCCTCCCTGCCGGTGACTGTGAGTGAGGGACCTCACCTCTCCAAATCTAACTTGCAAGGTGGAGGTAATAACTATACCACCTCCCCTCTGTGGCCTTAGTCCTCTGTCTTGTGAGCATGGCTTTCCTCTCTGCCTACCCAGTGTCCCAACCCTCTAAGGTGGCACAGGGCAGGCCCTGTGGGACAGGCTCTCCCCTGACTCCTCCACCCCTATATCCTCCCTCTATAGGAGCCCTTAAAGCTGGGGCCTCAGGGACAGGTCCATGCCAGCCAGGGAGCTGTTCCTGGCCCCAGAGGCCTCATCTGGGAAGAGGTAAGACAGCCCTCTGTGCTCCTCTTTATTTTACAGACAGGGAAACTGAGGCTGAGAGAAGGTGAGTTTGCCCCCGGGACGGATAGAGCCTTGGTTTCCTCCTCCCTTCCAAGTCTGCCATGAAGATCATTGAAAGAGTGAAGCAAGCCTTTAATTGAACACCGAGCTGTGTCCAGCACATCATAGGTGCTCATTACATGTTGTTGTGAGCCATGAATTTACTTACCAAGGTGCTAAGTGGCACAAATTCAAAGCCAGGTCTGTCCATCTAGAGCGACAGTCCCGCAACCGCAGAGGAGCCCTCCTGCGCGGCCAGTGGTAGCAATTCCGCCGCCCACCACTGCTTCCCAGTGAGGGGGTGGCTACGGGGCGGGACGAGGTGACTCAGCTGCAGCCTGCAGGCTCGCTGGCTGCGGGACAGGTAGGCCAGCCCCGGGCGGCCTGGAAGACATTACACGGCTGTCGGCTGTCGGCTGGGCGTCGCGGCGGGTTCCGGAGGGGGTCCTGGCGGCGGGCGCCCGGAGGGGACGGCCCACCACAAAGCGCGCTTTGTTCTGAGCGGCCCCGGAGCTGGAACCAATGGATTGGCGGCAGCCAGGGTCATCTATCAGGCAGCGCGGGGGTCAGGCCGGGGAAGGGCCACAGGCAGGAGCCGGCGGGGGTGCCGCGGGGGTTGCTGAGCAGCTTCCGGCCTCAGTTTACCCGTCCATCTAAAGGGGAAGATCATGTCTGTTCTGTCCGCCTCTCTTGGGACTACTGTGAGACTTCAACATGGAAGCCACGTTGCTCAGGATGCTGGGGACGTGCGGGATGAAAACAGCCTAAGAGTGGTCCTGACAGGGCCAGGGCTGGCTGGGTGGAACTGGGAGCCTCTGAGCTTGCAGCACACAGTGTGGTGGTGTCTGGGGGCCAAGGTGAGGTCTCACAGCACCCTTGCACCCCTGCGCAATCACGCTCCCCCAGGGCCCTGGATGCCAGGCACGGCCCCCTTTCTGGCACTGGCAGGTGGAGATACCCACCCTGAGCACAGCGTCCCCTTGGTGCCCTCTGGCCCCCAGCAGGCAGGACTGGGCCACCCAGAGGTGTTTTAATAACTGGAAATGGGTCAGGGTCTGAACTCTACTCTCTACAAAATCAGAGCCCATTCATTCACATGACCCAGCTGCATGTGCCTCAGTGTCCCCCTCCTGGGATAATTAGGCTTCTAAGCATTTGATATAGGGCCCCCTGGAAGAGGAGGCCACTAAGTTCAGGGAGCCCTGGAAATTGCCCAAAATATGTGTGTTTCTGTGGGAAAGGTTCACCACTTTCTTTGGTTCTCAACCACCTTCCTGACCCAAGAAAGGTTAAAGAGCGCTGTTGAGTGCAGAGGTGGAAGGGGGCCCCTCACTCTGCTGTGGGGCAGCATTTGGAAACGGCTGCTGTGGAGAGCGACTTGGCAGTCCCGAGAAGTGGGAGTGGCTGTCCCACCCTGCATGCAGGTGGGAGAGCAGAGCTGTGGCCACTGCAAACCCTCAGAGCCCCTGAGAGGAGCTGGCTAGGAAATGGCTACAGTGGGGCTGGGGGGAGGCACCACATAGTGAGGAAAAAGAAGGCCTGGTGAGGGGAGATTTATTCATGCAATAGCTATTTATGCAATTGTTACTATGTATCAGGCACAGTGCTCAGCCCAGGCCCCAGTAACAAGCAAGACAGGCTCATCTTGGTCATGATATACATTCTAGAAGGCGAGGCAGATGCAGACACGAACAATAATTTCAGATAGTGGAAAATGCCATGAAGAAAAGAAAACCAGAGAAGGGACTAACAATGAGGGGAAGGCCTTCTGAAGAAGTTCCTCTGACCAGAGATCAAAATTCAGGGATTTGGGAGGAGCACTGGGCCAGTGGGGTAGAAGAACAATATTCAAAGGAACATAAAAAAAGAGAAGCATTTTGCTGGGCAAGGTGGTACACACCTGTAACTGTAGCACTTTGGGAGAATGAGGCAGGAGAATCCCAAGTTTGAGCCTAGCCTAGGCAACTTGGTAACTTAGTGAAACCCTGAGTCAAAAAAAAAAAAAAGCCTAGAGATGCAGCTCAGTGGGTGGACCCCGGGTTCATTCCCCAGTCAAACAAACAACCAAAACCAAACCAAAACCAAACAAAAAAGTACGTATTCACACACACACTACCACAAAGTCAGATTGATGTACGGAAGAGCATATGCCAAATTCATGAAGGTAACTGTCCCAAAAGGGCAAAGGGACAACCAAGACCACGACCCACAGTGGGCTTCAGCTTGCCTTTAGTATTTTAATTTTTAAATATTTAGTTAACATTTTAATATCTTAATACTTATTCTTAATGTGGTTAAATATACTCATAATCATGAGGTTAAAAACAAATTAAAATCTACCACAGCAAAAGGGGTTAGTTCAGGGCAGCAAGTGGCTCAGGGGTCCCCACACACTGCCATTCACTGGACCCACGTTCTGGGGGCCAGGTCTGTCTGGGGAGGGGACATATGGGATCATGGGAGGCACACGGGGCACATGGTCCAGCCTGAGGGGCCTAGGCGCTTTTCGGAGTAGATGCCTTCTTTGTAGAGGTGCCCATCACCCACGGAGACAGGGAAATAGGTCTAGAGAGGCCACGCTATGTACAGGTCCACAGAGCAAGAGCAGATGGGACAAGTGGGACGTGACACTCTAGACTGCCAGTCGAGTCTCCTTCTCAGGCCTGAACCCGGGTTCTTTGGGCAAAGGATGGTCCTCACTACCCCAGCCTGGCCTTTCTATCCAGCCCGTTCCCACAGCATTCTCTCTAGCTTAGCGGCTCAGCCCTGCTCTGGGGGGGGCAGGAAAGCAGCGCCATCTGCTGGTGGAAGAGGGAAACACAGCTCAGCCCCTAGCAGGTCACATCCTTCAAAGACCTCTTCCCTCACGACTTCTCCCACAGCCCTGCCTATTAGACGCCTCCCTCCCAGTGCCTGCCTTTTGGGTCTGATCTGCAAGGAGGAAAAGCCCTTTCATCCGGGGCAACCAACCTCACTTATTCTAGGCCGGTGGGCATGGGTGTCAGAAACCTCAGGAGACAGTAGCACCTTTCATTAATGGTTTACAAAGCATGTCCTCTTCTTTCTTCCCTGACCCTTGCTACAAAACTTTCAGGTACACAATCCGATTGACAGCTTGGACAAGTCCTCTAGGGCAGGGAAAGCTTTGCTTAATATCACTGAGCAAGTGAACACACAGGCTGGTGGCAAAACACAGGTCTCCTGTACCGGCCCCAAGGCAATGGGAGTGCAGGGAGGTGTCACCATGGTGTCACACTTGAAAATAACTGATGCAGAAAAAATAAGCAGTTCTGGATTGTGGTCTCTGAACAGCCCCATCAGCATAACCTGAGCTTGTTAGAAACATATTCCCAGCCCTCCCCAGCCCTGACGAGTTGGCGTTCAAGGGTGGAAACCAGCAAAGCAGCTAGAGAACCTGAACCACTGGTCTAAAGCAGCTGCACCCAACTTATTTTTAATTAAATAAGCTTTTATTTTGGAATTACTTTAGATTCACAGAAAATTTGCAGAGATAGTACAAAGAGTTCCCATCTAATCTCCACCCAGCTCCTCCCCTTACCCCAACAACTTACAAATACCTTCCTACATCACCAGAATACACTGGTCAAAATCAACAGACCAACATTAGTATAAAATTATTAACTAAAATCCAGACCATGTCGGAGTTCCAGTTGTCCTACTAATGTCTGTTTTTTCCCCCGAGAGCCAATGCAAGATACCATTTTGCATTTAAGACACTGTGCTGTATCCCTTTTCAATCCTATTTCCAATGAGTGCAAGAGCTGTTGTCCTTGCTCTTGAGCTGGCAAGACTGAGGCTTGAAAATGTAATGACTGAGTTCCTAGAGGCAGTGACACCAAGGCACCTCATTCTGCACTTTTCCTCAGGACTCTTGGTTTCCAGAAGCTCCTCTGGAATGTCACCCTGCCGTCTCTGTCACACCAGTGTGGACAATGAAGCCCCTACTGGATCCAGCCTCACTCATCTCCTTGCCTAGACCCCAGGCTCTGTGTATCAGTGACTTAGCTTGGGCAGGGCAAGGAGACTGTGTCTGTGTAATCCTGAGATCTGCCCATCTAGACTTATTCACAAAGGATGAAGAGTAAGTCTGAGTGTCCAAGATGGCCCCAGGTTCTCTGTAGCTCCTCCCGTCTAGTGGTGCAATGTTTTTCATCCCTTGTATCTGGGCAAAGTCTTGCAATTTTCCCTGACCAAAAGAACCTAGAAGTAAGATTGTCCTGGTGCCTAGTCTAGAGTTCTTGTCACTTCTGCTCTCTAGGAACCCTGAGGCCACTATGTAAATAAACCTGAACTTAGTAGATGAGTCACATGGAAGAGAACCACGCCACCTAGCCAACAGCCTCAGAAAAGCACATGAGGCTATCCTAACCCATTCAGCCTCAGCTGAGGTGACAGTTGTCTGTGGCCCCATGGTGACCTCAGGCAAGGCCAGCAGAGCTGCCTAGATGAACCTAGCCCAAATTGCCAACCCAGAAACTGTGGGTAGAGCAGTAACTTCAAGGTGCTATGTTTGGGAGTGGTTTGTACACAGCAAAGCTGATATACAATTCCTCTTCTTTCCTGGTAAGAAAAGTTTATTTCAAGAGGCAAAGTGCCAGTCCCAGGAGATGGAATATGACTGGTGTGCTCAGCCATGACAATTCTGTTCCCTGAGGTGTTAGCTTTCTTCAAAGCTAGGGCAATGGTAGCTGGCTCAGGCCAAGGAGATCTAAGTGGAAATATGCAGAGGACAGAGTAGGACAGATTACGCTTTCTGATGGAAGGTGTCAGGCCTGGGGGTATTGGCCCTTCCTCTTCCCCCACTCCTTTCTTCCTTGAACACAGACATGATTCCTGGAGATATCACAGCCATCTTATGACCATGAAGTAACAAACAACGAGGGCAAAGGGATCTGAGGTATAAACTCTATCTTTGCTGAATTATTGAAACAATACCATTTTGGCTATTTGCCTCCAGAATTCAGCCTTTCTTTGTTCAAGCCCGTTACCTAGGCTTGCTTTACTTGCAGCTGAGCAGTCCACTTAATAGGATACCATAAAGATGATGCAGTAGGTCCTTGTCCTTCAGATCTCCAGATCCATCTCCTGGCTCAGGGATGAGGCCCAGTCTCACTCTCACAGAGGTGGGAACAGGGGCTCTCACACTATTTAGCATCAGTCCCAGGCCTGGCAGCTAGTAAAGGGGGTGCTGAGAGTCAGACCCCCATCCCCATGTGCAAAGAGGGGCGCCCCTGCTGGCCCTTGTGTGGCCCACCCACTGGGGGCCAGGTATCTTCCTGGAGGTGGCAAGGAAGCTGCTACTGCAAATCCGGAGTGGACGCGCCCAGGTACACTCGGAGGTCCGAAAGGGTGGACTGCACAAGCTTGGCAGGGATGGTCTCTCGCTGCAGCTGCTGGTAGGCTGCGTAGCGATGGCAGCCCCCGAAGGAGTAGTAGTAGTCACCACCCTGGGCCCCTTTGATCCAGAGAACGTCGATGGGCGGCACGTTGTCTGGGTTGTCCTGGAGAGAGGAAGGGGGACCCCGCGTGAGTGAGTACAGTCCCACACCTGAGTCTGCAGAAGGCTTTGTCCCCAATATGGGACTCCGACAGAGCACCCGAACCAGCATAAGCAAGACACTGTGAAATGTCCAGGAATCCCGTGGGTTGGCTGAAGTCATTTTGGCTGCCTGCTCAGGATGAGAGAGATTTATACCAGGGCAAGGGGCAGATGCCACAAACAAGTATCTTCTCGCCCCGGGACAGTCTGTGAAACACACATCTATCCACCACATGCCCTGTCCCAGGCCCAGCCTCTGCCTGCATGGGCTGTGGCCCAACAGGGTGGTTGAGATGAGTAAGTGAATGTCGGAGTGACAAGTGCTATGCAGACAGTACCCAGGTGACATGGGTGGGGTCCAAAAGGCTTCTCTGAGGTGACAAGGAAGCAGAGATCCACCTGGGGAGCTAGACATGTGGTATAGCTTTAGAGCCTGGCTTCCTTGGTTCAAATCTTGCTCTGCTACTTACCAGTTAAGTGACGTTGTACAGTTAACTTCTGTGCCTCACTTACCCTATCTATCAAATGGGGATGAAGACAACAGACCCGCGTCATAGAGCCACTGGGATAAGTCAGTTAACATATGCAAAGTACTTCCAGCAATGCTTGGTACAGGAAATGTGTTCAGTAATGTCTGCCTGTATTACCCAAGAGGTCAGAAAGATCTGCAGGAGCTGGATGGAGCAGATTTGTTTCTTGGAGCAGGGGTCTACCCTGGAGCATTCAGACAGCAGTTGGCATGGTTCAATCCCATTCTAGAAATATGCACAGGAGAGCAGCTTGTGGGCTGGACGAGGGCATGAGCCAGGCCTTTCTGAGTCTTCAGTAGAAGACACATGCCTGCATGCTGCACAGCTGGGACAGGGAGAGGCACACAGGTTTGGCAGATGTTTAGGAGGCAGATCAGAGGGCTTTGGCAGGAAAGGGGGACATGAGGGCACGAGAATGAAGAGAATCTTATGTTATTTCTTGGTAGGGTCCAAGCAGCCAGACAGAGGAGGGCCATCCTCTAAGTAGGGAAAGGCTGGGCATGTTGGGGAGACGTACTGTGATGTACCTTGAAGGCCTCTTGCTACCGGCCCAGTTGTCAGTGGAAGCTGCTCTGACAGGTTCATTAATCCAGATGTTGCATAGCTGGTTATTCAGCAGTAAGGCCCAGCAGTCACCAGCCAGGGCTCTGGAACCTAGCAAACCAGCGGAGAGGGCTACTATGCAGCCAGCTCAGCCTCTCCAAACACTGGTGCTCATCCACCAAATGGGAACGAGACCTCCCACAGGGCAGTGTAAGGTGTGTCAGTGAGCTGCAAGGCCTTGTGCAGGCCCAGGGTGAGGGGCAGGATGGTGGGGGCCAGTAACAGTCCCCAAAGACATCTGTGTCCTAATCCTTAGAGGCTGTAAATATGTTACCTTACACAGAAGGGGTTTTGGAGCTGGATCTTGAGACAGGAAAATGGGTTGAATGTTATCACCAGGGCCCTTAAAAGCAGAATGGGGAGGTGGAAGAGGTCAAGGTGACACAAGCTGAAAAGGGTCAAGCACTGCTGTTGGTCTGAAGATGAGGAAGAGGCCATGAGTCTGCATACTCAGGGGTGGTTGTGGTGGTGTTGGACACTGGGAAAGGCTGGGGAACTGTCCCTTAGAACCTCTAGAGAACAGTGCAGCCCTGCTGACCTCCGTTTTAGTTCAGTAAGACCCATTTTAGATTTCTGCTCCACAGACCATAAAATAATACATTCGTGCTGTCTGCAAGCTATAAAGTTTATTTTTTGGTTTTTTTGAGACAAGGTCTTGCTATGTAGCCAGGTTGATCTTGAACTTACTATGTAGCCCAGATTGGTTTCAAACACAGAGTGATTATCCTGCCTCAGCCTCCTGAGTGGTGGGATTACAGGTATGCACCACCAGGCCCAGCTTGAAGCCATAAAGTCTGTGGCCACAGAAATGACTCCAGGTGGTAAGTTAGCAAAGGCAGATCTGGCCCTGGCCTCATAGAGCCTATGGTTCCAATGTGGGAGACAAGTGCCTACAAAGGCGATTAGAACCCAGTGGGGTTCTATGCTGCTGGGTACACAGGTGGCTTTGAGTATAGTGGAGGCCCCTTACCTGTTAGGGTGGGCAGGGAAGAGGCTGCCACTGAGAAAGGAAGACCAAGGAGGAGTTAGGCACAACAAAGATATGGAACAGTCTCCTGACTCGGGGTGGGGGGTCTGTGCAAAGGCCCAGTGGTGGAGAGGACACTTAGGGCCAGACAAAAGCCCACAAGGAGGGCAGCAGCAAGATGGACAAGACCCCTACTCATATGGTGTTCACTCGAGGAACAGACACTGAAGCAGTGAAACATATAAATCAATGTAGGAAGGCTGTAAGTGCTAGCCAGAAAAACTCCTGGGTGGAAGGAAGCTGGAGGCCAAGGCTCAGGGCCTGTGGCTATCTGAGGAGGTGGTGCCAGGAAACAGGGAGAGTGCAGACTGTGGGACTGAAAGACATCCCAGCTGGCTGCACCAGTGCTTGGCGGGGCTTAGGAGTCTCATACGCTCACCTTCTAAGGGTCTGGGAGAAGGGGACAGGAAGCATGTAGGCCTAAGCTGACACACATGTTCCTGTGTCCCTCAGCCCCAGTTCCTGCCAGAGCCACCTGGGAATTCTTGAGCACCCTCCCTCGGTCTGTGACCTGACTGACCCTTGTTCTCTCCCACTTCCGGTTCAGACAAGGCCTTCCCAGCAGACATGACACACTGTCACACCCATTGCCCCTGCCCCCGTCTGTCACAGCCAGAGGGGACCACACAGCTTATCTTTGCATGGTGTGGTGACCACACTATGGGGCACTAGGGCCATCTGAGTGCCTGACCTTGAGCAATTTGCCTAAAACTTCCTGTGCCTTGTTTGTCTCATAGGGTGGCACAAGAAGCTAAAGAACCTAAACAGCTTCTGGGCCACTGTAGTTTAGTGACCCTTATTTTAATTAACTAGTTCTACCCCCTCCTTGCTCAAGAGAGGGAGCAGGGCCCAGAGAGACCGGACACTTGCTCAAGGTCGCACAGCCCACACAGCCTCTGCAGAGCCCAGAACTGTCCCGTCAGGCTTCCGGCACGCCTCCCTCTCCCGAAGTCCTCCCTCCCGCTGCCGGCTTCCCCGGGCCTCACCCGGATGGTGTCCACCAGTCTCTGCACCTTGGCCGGGTCCAGCACAGAAGGCAGCGGTCGAATGAGCACGCTCAGCGGCACGTTGTGCACGGCGGCGATGCAGCCCGAGTGGATACTGCCGCCCTGCGCACTGCCGCTCTCCCCGGGCCCCTCGAGCATCCCCCGGCCCGCACCCACTCTGCCCAGAGCTCGGCCAGCGCGCAGCCCCATCACGCTGCTGTGGTCAGCGCCGCCAGAGCCTGCCGCCTCCCGGCTTTACTCAGCTGGGCCGTACCATTCCGCGCGGACGCCGGGGGCGCACGCCGCGCGCGTCTCTCCGCTGCCGTGGTGCTGCCTGGGCCGCAGTGTCCGCTGGGGGGCGCCCCGCCGCGTTTCCTCTCCTCTCCGTGCTCGGGGAGTGGACGCGCCCGGCCGCTGACTCAGGGTGAGTGTGCAGGTCGCGGGGCGGGAGGGGCGCGCGACGCACGGCGCGGTGACTCAGGCCCGCGGGGCCGAAGCGGGCGGGGTGGCCAAGTCTGCGGAGCCAGGATGAGTCGGCGAAACCTGCGGGGCTGGCCCGCTCGCCGCCGTCGCCGTCGGAGCCCTGGGGTCGGAGCTCAGGGAGAGCCGTGCCTAGGGCGGTAACTGTAGCGACCTGCTGCGGACTGCGCAGGCACCTCCAAAGCACCCCGCGAGTCAGGCAGGATCATCAGTCCCATTTTGCAGACGAGGAAACTGAGGCACAGAGAAGTTTACTCGACTTGCCTAATATCGTGGCACTAGGAAGTAGGCTCATCCCCCACCCCCACCCCAGTTCAGCAGCCAGTACCGTTGTCATATCGTGCTGACAATATGTGGGAGTGCCCTGAAGTCCCACACTGTCCCATGGCAGCAGGTTCGGTTGCGAACCACGTGGCCAAGGTAGGTCAGCTGAAGGTGAAAGTCAGGCCTTCTCAGTGCAGAGCTCTGGGGCCACTTAGCCACCACAGCTAGGCAGGAAGGGGACAGTTCAGAGTCTGGTTTAGATTCTCCTCCCTCTCCTTACCGGGTCAACCTGGGATGCCAGAGTTGGCAGGGGTGAGGTGAGTTCAAGGCCAGGGGCCCACTCTGCTGCCCATCTGTGAGATGTGGTGAGATGAGGTGCTTTGCCTCAGAGTGTCTTCAAGAATTGAGGGACACACATAAACCTCTGATCTGCAGATCTTCCCATCTTGCTGTTGAAGGCTAAATGTTAGGATGCTCATGCCATTGGGAATTTGACCTTGACCTTTCTCTTTCTGCAGTTCCCAAACATAATTCCTATGAGCACCTAAATTATACTTTTTTTCAGGAAGAGGGCAAACACCTCAGTCCTGGAATTACTGAGTTAGAGAATTTCATCAAGAGGGAAGCTGTCCCTTCCGAACCACTTAGTGGATACAAGATGTGAGGCAGGTGGGACCATAGTTCTGGAGTGGGAAAATGAACTGTGACCTCTCATCAAGCTGTGCCCAGTGAGGCCTTGCCCTTGGTGTCAAACTCTGTGTTATGTATGGTACTTGTGGCCCAACTCAGCACTGGTGATTGGAGGTAGGTATATCTAAGGTTAGTAAGGAGGCAGCAGAACAAATGTCATCAAAGACCCAGGCTCTGTCCATCTTTTGCTGCTGTCATCCTCAGGCTTGCTCCTCGTGGTGCCAGTGTGGCTGCTATAGCCTAAAGCTTCACATCACTACATAACCACATTCAGAAGAAGTTAGGACATCCATTTGTGCTTCTTTTTTTAAAAGTGAAGAAACCTTTCCTTAGTTGCCCCCAACCCTTGCCCTGCTAGGAACAAGAATTAGGTCATGCCTAAACCAGTCCCTGCCAAGAGGAGTAGAATTACCATGGTCAGCTTAGCCTGATTGGTCCTCACCTTTGGACTTGGGAGGGTTGTCCTCCCTGAAGTGCATGGCCCAAGCTCTGAGCAGGATTGAGGAAGTCGCAGCATCCTAGTTCTCTTGTGAGAGCCTCCCTCTCCCACTCAGGACTGTGTGGCTGCTGGGTTGCCCTGTCCCTGATGAGGCCTGCCCAATCAACAATTCCATTGTATTGGTCTGGCTGTTCCCAAAGCAGTGAGACTCAGACGTAAGCCTCTGGTTGGGAGGAGGTGAGCTGCCTCCCTTGAGCCTGTGGCCTTCATATACTTGGAGCCAGGATCTCCCTGGCAGTGCTTTCTTTCCAGCTTGAATTCTCTGAAGTCAACCCTGAGGCAGAAACTCCATGCAGGTAGCTACTTAGATGTTTTACTTGTTAACTGCTGCAGATGAAATCACTCCAGAACGAGTGGCATCAAAGCCATTTTACCATGCTCACAGGCTCTGTGGGTCAGTAAATCAGATGTCGGTGGTCTCTTCCCTGCAGTGTCTGGGCTGTCAGCTGTGGGGTAACTTGCTGGCTGGGGCTGGAATCATCTGCAGGAGTCTTTCCACATCAAGTGGATGCTCCTGCCTGTTGGCTGGAGTCTCACTTCTGGCCAGCAGCCAGCATAGCTGTACACAGCTTCTCCCTGGGCAGGGACTCCTTGCAGCATGGCCACTGGCTTGAGAGCAGGTGTCCCAAGAGGACCTCGTAGGAGCTTCCTGGTCTCTTCTCAGACAGCCTTGGAGGTCACACAGCATCTTTTCTGCAACATCCTGTATTTGGGAGCTGTCACAGCCCTCCTAGGCACATTAGGTGCCATCTCCTGATGGGAGGAACAGCAAGGTTCTGTGCATGTGGGGAAGAAGATGCTGTTGTGACCATCTTTGGAAGACACATCTCCTGCAGGAGGTGACCCTAGGAAGTTCTGGATGTCACCAAGGCCCAGTGATGAGGTTAGCTTGTTGGGCAGCTTGGGCTCATTCCTGTGGGTGACACTCTGGGGAACAACTGTGTGTCCCCATTTGTCCCTCTAAGGGACAGGGCCTGGGTGTTTATTCACTGATTTCTGCCCCTCACTGGTAGAGAGGGCCTGTGGGTGAGTCTCTGACAATTCTGGGCAGCCCTGAACTTGAACTGAGCACACATCTGTGGACCTGGAGGCTCAAAGCCTGTCTGCTCATAGTCACCAGGGGGTGGCCAGGGGCATTAAGAGCAGGATACCAATGCATTCCTTTTCTGTCCAAACCAGCAAGGTCCATGTTGGTTGTGTGCACCCAAAGGCCCTGGCTTGCTGCTGGCCCTTGCTCCTCACTCAGCTGCTTGACCTACAGGTGGTATACACCTTTTCTGTTCATTTTCAACAGAGAACATGTACGTGAGGAATTCAGGCTGCAGGTGACTGGTCTAAGTGTTGGGGAAGACAAAAAAGATTTTGGTGCCCCCAAAGTAACATCCAGTTGTACATCGCCCTCCCCTCAATTGGGCATGTCCATTTCTTCAGCTTGGCTCGCAGGCTTCCGCTGTGGCGCTTGGTTCTCTTGTCTTTGGGAAGTTGGGTTGTGAATGCAGTGAGGAACTGACCCTTCACTTCTTGCTCCTCCGTTCTTTGTGCCCTTGATGAAATAATTCAGTCAAGACACACACACTGTACAGAACTATAGGAAGGATTTATTTTGATGTAGATATAGCGAGTTACGCCTTCACATGAGAAGGTGGATGGTGCCATGAAGGCATCTGCACTCTGTGTGAATTTGGGTACATTTTTTATGTATACAGAAGTTACTCCTGGATTCAGGGGACTGTGGTGACTATGATGCTAGTCAACATTCCACTTCAAAATTACTTAGGAATTGCAGAATGTCTTTCTGTCCTAATTAGATGGTCAGTGTTTCCTCGGGGGCTTTCATCATGTGAGAAACTTACAAAAGATAAGTTCTTAATCTAAACCAGGTCCCAGCCCAAGGCAGGACGATCTTTAAAGAACATTTCCTTCCCTGATTTCATTGGCCTGTGGGCTATGGCAGCCGGGAATGCTGTGGGCTTGTTCTGGAGCTGGACGGCTAGGTGACCTGGAACGTGCACAATATGTGATCTTAACATGTCATTGTGCTCTGAGAGATTGCTTTGGGCCTGAGACCTAACAAATGATTATAAATGTATTGTACACAGACATCTTTGTTTCTTTACTTAACTGGCAAGGCATACTACTTTGGACCCCTGCCCCTTTGTCCCTCAGGGCCTCTAATGTCTACCTGTCTGATAGCCTGTGTCTTCCTGTTTTCCTCCCCATTTCTTCTCACTCCCCTCTATGGACCCCTAAACTCCTGTTTTTAATTCACTCAGAAAGTTTGTCTCTTTCTTTTGCATCTTCACTGCCTGCTGAGCCATCATCTCCTTGGGTCTTGAGGCAGCTTTGCACTTCTACTGCTTCTCCTCATAGGCACAAGATTATTGTCAGTGCCAACTGGGACAGCCTTCTTCTTTGCTCATCCGGGAAAGGAGAGAAAATCTGTACCCTGCAATGATAACATTAAATTCTTTCTCCACTCAGTCTGATTGGGCTGGCTTGAGAGTCATATTGAGATGTAGGATGCCTGATGTTCTCCAGGGACATGCCATGTGCTCAGCTGCATAAGTGTGGATGTTGGAGCTGTCACTCACTGCGATGACTCTTGATTAGCATAGAGGGTACCGACCAGGCACCCTCCGGAGGTCTACCGCCTCCAAGCCACCTGGATATGGGTTAAGTGATAGCAGACACCTGAGTGACTATGTGGTTTGCTATGAGGGCAGGAGGCAACAGAGGCTTGGCTGTTGGCGTCCCTCCCCTGGACCCTTTGGGTTTCTGCCGCAGTTGTGCTGCAAAGCTTGTGTGAGCTCAGACTCTGCAACTCAGCCAGCTCCAAGCGTCTCTTGTCACAGGTCCCTGTGGGGATCTCTGTCCACAATCAGGCTCAGGCCAGAGGTTCTGGAATATTCAACCTGGGAACAGGAACTGGTCACCACACCCCTCTCTTCTGTCAGATAAGGACAATTTGGAGGGCTGTGCTAGAGCATCTGGAGTGTTCTGGAGCCTTTTCAGAGACTGCATCAGCCAGCACATTGCCACAGCAGTGGCTGCTCTAATGTGCCCCTGTCCTATTCTTCAGGACCCTCATATGTCCTTCTTGGGGTCCCCCCCCAACAACCCACACCCAAGTCTCAGACTGCTCAGACAAAGGAAAATGGGACCCTGGGTCACCTCTTGTAATGGTTTGGATCTAAAATGTCCTCTAAAGGTCTCATGCACTCATAGATAGGGCTTTCAGAAGATGTTGAATCATGAGGGCGCTGACCTTACCAGTGCATCAAGCCATTGATGGGTTTATGGCTGAATGGGCAGTTA